ATTTCATATAGTCGAAGATGATTTCCCAATTCCTTGCGATGGAATCTTGGGACTTGATTTTATTAAAAAATTTAATTGCATTTTAGATTATAGCAAAAATGGAGACAGCCTAATACTGCGTCCATATGATTACCCGGAAAACATAATAATACAAATGACAAATAGACCAACTGTTAATTGCATAACAATCCCAGCAAGATCGGAAGTAATACGACAAGTCCATATTGAAAATGGCAATACTGAATTATTGATACCTCATCAAAAATTGTCTGAAGGTGTTTTTATTGCAAATACCTTAGTAAATTCAAATCAAACCTTTATTAGAGTCATAAATACAACAGACAAAAATGCAACCATTCAAAATTTCAAAATTAACACAGAAAACTTAGATGATTACACAATAATAAATAATAAAACTGAACCAGCAAATAATGCTAAAGAAAAATTAGAAAGATTAAATAAAAATTTTCCAAAATTCGTTTCCCAACAGCTTAATGCACTTTGTGCAGAATATATAGATATTATTTCACTGGAATCAGAACCCATTACCACTAATAATTTTTACAAGCAAAAACTACGTATGAAAGATGATAATCCAGTTTATGTAAAAAATTACCGAATCCCACAAGCTCATAAAAGCGAAATTTGTAAACACGTAGATAAATTAATTAAAGATGACATAATAGAGCCGTCTATGTCAGAATATAATAGCCCAATTCTGCTGGTACCCAAAAAATCTCTACCGGGAAAAAATGATAAAAGATGGAGACTAGTAGTTGATTATCGACAAGTAAATAAAAAGTTAACCTTAGATAAATTCCCATTGCCACGAATTGATGATATACTAGATCAATTGGGTAGAGCTAAATATTTTTCATGCTTGGACTTGATGTCCGGCTTTCATCAAATTGAGTTACATAAAGACTCTAGGGACATAACATCGTTTACGGCAGACAATGGCACATATCGTTTCAAAAGATTGCCATACGGCTTAAAAGTAGCCCCAAACTCGTTTCAAAGAATGATGACTCTTGCTTTTGCAGGTCTTAAACCATCCCAAGCATTTCTCTATATGGATGATTTGGTAGTATTAGGGTGCTCCGAAAAACACATGTTAAAAAATTTGAGAAATGTATTTTCAACTTGCAGAAAATACAATTTAAAGTTACATCCGGATAAATGTTTATTTTTTAACCAAGAAGTTACTTACCTTGGACATAACTGCACAAATAAAGGAATTTTGCCTGATCCTAGTAAATTTGAAATTGTACTAAATTATCCAACCCCAAAAACAGCAGATGAAGTTAAAAGATTTGTAGCATTTTGTAACTATTACCGAAAATTTGTTCCAAATTTTGCAGAACATTCTAGAATTTTAACAAGGTTATGTAAAAAGAATGTTTCCTTCGATTGGACAGAAGAATGTCAAAAAGCTTTTGTCTACTTGAAGGAGGCATTAATTAACCCAAATATTTTGCAATATCCAGATTTCGATAAAGAATTTTGTATAACAACAGATGCTAGTGGATTTGCCTGCGGCGCAGTTCTTAGTCAAGAATATGAAGGCAAACAATTACCAATTGCCTATGCGTCAAGAGCATTCACAAAAGGTGAAAGCAATAAAGCTACAATTGAAAAAGAGTTAGCAGCAATCCACTGGGCTATAACTTATTTTAGACCATACGTTTATGGCAGAAAATTTTTGATTAAAACAGACCACCGCCCCTTAACATACTTATTTTCGATGAAAAACCCTTCATCAAAATTAACTAGAGTTCGATTGGAATTGGAGGAATATAACTTTGAGGTGGAGTATATAGATGGAAAAGAAAACTACGTGGCGGATGCGCTTTCACGCATCAATATAAATGATTTAAGAGAAATGTCAATTAAAGCATGTCAAATACTAAAAGTTGCGACGAGATCGGAAACTAAGCAAAAACCAAATAATAAAAATATTAATAAAGAAAAAAGTCACATTGAGAACCCAATAATATATGAAGCGCTAAATAAATGTGAAGTTAAAAAGCTAGCCCAGCTCGTTTTCGACCCCCCGAAACTGCAGTTCAAAAAGGGAAAGAAAATTTGTAGCAAAATAGATATTAATGATTTAATTGTTGAGGCGAAGATTGATTCAGGTCAATCCTTTGCCAGGCTTTCAAAAGAAGCCGGCAATTCAAGTATTAATAATTCAATTGTTGAGGCGAATATTGATTTAGGTCAATTCTTTGCCAGGCTAATGAAAGAAGCCGACAGTTTGAAAATAAATAAAATACAGTTGTCCTTAGGAGACAAATTGTTCAAGAATAATTATACTCGAGTAAGCACATTTAAAGAAATTGGTACCAAAGTTCTCAAAAAACTTAACAATTGCATTAACTCCGGAGGTTATGCATGTGACTGATAAAGATACAATTAAAAATTTATTGAAAAAGTATCATGATGATCCTGTTACTGGTGGCCACCCAGGAATCAATCGAACAACTAATAAAATAAAACAAAAATATTATTGGAAAAACATGAAAAATGATATAAAAAATCACATTAAAAAATGCATGGAATGCAGCAAAAATAAAGTAAATAAAAATTTAAAAGAACCAATGGTGATAACGGAAACTCCCACAAAAGCCTTCGATACGGTGCAAATTGATACAATTGGACCGTTGCCCGTATCGGTATGTGGAAATGAGTATGCGGTTACCATAGTGTGTGATCTGACAAAGTATCTGATAGCAATTCCAATTGCGAGCAAACACGCGAAAACGGTGGCAAAAGCCATTTTTGAAAACTTTATTTTGGTATATGGTTGTATGAAGACCATCATAACTGATATGGGGACTGAATACAAAACAACGTATTTGAGGAATTGTGTAAACTTTTAAAAATTGAACACAAGACTTCTACCCCATATCATCATCAAACTTTGGGCACCGTTGAACGTAGCCACAGAACTTTTAATGAATACATTCGTTCTTACATATCCATTAACAAAGATGATTGGGATGAGTATATCAAGTATTTTGCATACTATTACAATACAACACCATCTACGGTTAATGGTTATTGCCCATACGAGTTAGTTTTTGGAAAAATACCTCTGACTTACGAATTTTTAAAAGAAAATACAATTAGCCCAGTTTATAACTATGAGGCCTATGAGAAAGAAATAAAATATAGATTACAAGTAGCTCAACAAAGAGCTCACATATTGGTAAAAGAAGCTAAGGAGAGACAAAAGGTTTATTATGATAAAAATCTTCAATATAAGGAAATAAAATTAGGAGATTTAGTATTAGTTAAAAATGAAGCAGGTCATAAGTTAGATAATAGATACAAAGGGCCCTATAGAGTAGTAAATATTGATATGAAAAATAATTATTCTTTAACTCCATATAATGTAGAAAATATAAAATTAATCGATAAGAGTAAGAAGATCATAGTACATAAAAATAGGCTTAAGCTATTTGAGTAAATTCACTTAAATTTTAATTACCCATAAATTTTACTTATTAATAAATTTCACACTTAAAGTTTTATGACCATAAATAAAGAAATATTTTTGTACACAAAATATGTTAGTTATTAGTATCATAAACAAAAACCCGACACTTATCTATACAAAATATTCAAAAAAAAAAATCTAAAAACAAGTCTGAAATTAACAAGTAAACAAACATATGAATTATAATCCACTTGAAATAAAACAAACAAAACCGAAAACATTGTATCACAAGAAAAATTTTGTAAACAAACAACAAACGACAAAAAACATCAAAAGTATGAAATGAAATATACAAAAGAAAATAAATCCACTCAACTGCATTACAGTTGTAAAATCGTTCATATGTATTTACGATTTTTTTTAGGAAAGGAGGTATAGTATATCAGAATAAGTCACTAACAACAACAAAGCCACACGCCTGTGTTATGTATTTTTGCAGCATAAACAAATTCCTTACTTTGTTATTTTCACACGCTAAACACACAAGCGGCACAAGCTATATCTGGTGCATGCGCTAGCTCTATGTATGTAAATATGTACGACTGCCCTGCTAGCACCTTCATGCTTGGTACATGTAGATATGTCTGTGGATACATTGCTTGTAGCTCCACATTAGAAATGGGTGTGTGTGTGTTGGTGACTTCACTGAGCTATGCTTTGAGCTAGGCACATATGAATGCATGCTCATATGTGCAAGCGAGAGATTCAGTCAGTAAGAATTTTAAGTAAATATGTATTGTAGTAAATAAGTAGTACATAAGATGTTAGAGTATAAATAAGATGATTCCAATAAAGAACAACACAGATTTTGTTATGCGACATGCTAAGTCGCAGCTAAAAACAAAACGCGTTTTATTTAATAATAAAAACATTCGTTAGCGATAGCGGTGATTGAAATCACGCCACCACAACTTTGCATAGGGCAAATATTTCGCATAGAAACCATACACATTTGTACATCGTCGCATCACACGTTGTTCAATTTGGCCATAGCCTACCGCTACATTCCTTTGTACTAAGGCACAAAAACATAGCAGTGTTTTACATACATACATTGAGGGTATTCATGCAGTTAGCACTTCTGCATAAGAACGTTTATTCGCCACGAATTATACAGCAGCTGATTTTCGAGTTGCGGAACGTATGTATTAAAATCAAACAACAATTAATTCTTAATTTGTATCACCAAAATGGCCAACTTAGAAGCTCTTAAGCAGCAGCGTACTAATCTCCGTCGGAACATAACCCGCATTCGCAGCACAGTTGATACAAAACTTGGAGTCTCGTCAGCTGAACTAAACTGTCGTTTGTCTATTTTAGAAGCCTACTTCAATCAGGTAATGACAGTGCAGACCGAAATGGAGAAGATGGATCCAGACGAAGCCCAGCGGGACACCAGAAGTGAAATCGAAGACACATACGTCGCTATTAAGGTTTGCATTAAGGAGCAATTGGGCGCGGACGCCCACAATACAACCGTGGCCGATGCTTCGCATCCATGAAGCTACCACGACTGGCACTTCCTACGTTTGATGGCAAGTACTCCGACTACAAAAACTTCGTAACGTCATTTAAGCAAGTCATTGATAGTCAACCTAGCTTGTCTTCTATCGAGAAGTTCAACCAACTGCTTAATTGTTTGAAGGGAGCGGCCTTAGAAACTGTGAAGGCATTTCAGATCTCTTCTGAAAATTATCCGAAAGCGCTCGAACGTCTTAAAGCTCGCTATGACAACCCCACGCTCGTCTTTTTGGATAATATAAATTCCTTATTCAGCTTGCCGAATGTTTCCAAATCGAATGCGCAACATCTGCGTAGTCTCATTGACAATGCATCAGCCCTGTACAACTCGTTACTGTCACTGGGTTCTGAGTCGCAAATTGCTCAGGCTATGCTCATCTCGATAGTGATGGACAAAGTCGATCAGGACACCAGGAAGAAATGGAAAGAGTTTTTAGACTTCCGAGATCTTCCGACATGGACATCTTGCATTAGCGTCGTTGAACGACGTTGCCAATACCTAGAATCTATAGGTAAGCCCAGCATGGATGCTACTATGAGTCAACAATCAGTGAGTAAACCACGCAACCAAAAACCGCAACGACAAGGGTTGACCTTCAACTGTACACCACAAGCCTGTCACGTTTGCCCAAATACCGAACACAGAACCTTTAGGTGCCCTCAACTTATTGGAAATACGCTTAATCAACGCTACGATACTGCAAAACGTTTGGGGCTCTGCATTAACTGTCTCGGTAAAGGTCATCAGGCTGCGAAGTGTCCCTCAAGGCACAGATGCCGAACGTGCACTTGTCCACATCACACGCTGTTACATCGTGATGCTAATAACACAGCTTCTCCGGTGGCATCACAGCCCATAACGATGATACAGCAGAGTTCAGATGCCGTTGTTCATACACACACGGACACTTGTTTGAATCGAATTATACTAGCCACTGCGTTGGTACAGGTTAAGGATGCTACAGGTCGTTACAGAATTGGCCGCGCTCTACTGGACTCCTGCTCCCAGGTAAATTTTATATCTGATGAGTTCGCACAAACACTTCGTTTACCCCGTAAGAGAAGCAACTTGGAAATTCGCAGCATTGGGGAGTCGCAAACTCAGGTTAAGCATCGCACGTCTACCACAATCAAATCACGCTTTGTCGAATTGGAATTGCCACTCGATTTCTGTGTCACATCGCACATTGCCTATCATCCAGAATCGGAAATCGACATTTCATCATGGAATCTACCCAAGAATACGCTATTGGCTGACGAAAACTTCAACAAGTCGCGCCGCATTGACCTACTCCTTGGAACCGAAGCATTTTTTGATATCCTATCTGTTGGGCAAGTGAAACTTGGTCCTAATTTGCCTGTGCTGCAGAAGACCCTCCTGGGATGGGTTGTTTCCGGTCGTTGTGATGCAAGATCTACAACACCGCACAGCTATGCACTATCACTGGACGAATCCATAAACCAGAACGTAGAGCGCCTATGGCGTATCGAAGATGTTAGGACACCAGCTAATACCTACACTCCAGAGCAACGCAAATGTGAGGAAATCTTCATCACCACGGTTCGCCGACAAAACGATGGTCGAATTGTAGTTCGTCTTCCATTCAAGGATAATCCTTGTTTGCTAGGTCGGTCATATGAAACCGCTCGCAGACGCTTTGAAGCTCTTGAACGTCGCTTGAGCCGCACACCAGATATTAAGCGACAATACATAGACTTCATGGTAGAGTTCCAACGTTTGGGCCATATGAGCTTGGTGAGTACGCCGAAGATGAATGTGCCTCATTTTTATATACCCCACCACTGTGTATTTAAGCCAAACAGTACGTCGACAAAGTTACGGGTTGTCTTCGATGCCTCCTGCCAGACTACGTCACAGAAGTCACTTAACGACTTATTGATGGTCGGACCAACCATACAGCTCGAGCTATACACGCTTCTGTTTCGTTTTCGATTGTATCGCTACGCGATTACTGCCGATATTGTCAAAATGTTCAGACAGGTTGTTGTTGATGATAAGGACCGGCAGTTTCAGTATGTACTCTGGAGAAATACACCCAATGAACCGCTTTGCACTTATGAACTCAATACAGTCACTTACGGGACCGCTGCTGCTCCATATCTTGCCATACGTAGTATGTCATATTTGGCTGATCAATACTTGGATAAGTTTAAAATCGGTGCCGAGGCCATAAAATCCTGCTTTTATGTAGATGACTTCATTTGTGGAGCAAATACTATTGATACTCTTCGTGAAATCAAAACAGAAGTTACCGAAGTACTTCGTCGTGGTAGATTTGAACTTGCAAAATGGCATTCAAACTACATCGAGTTTGTCGATGATTGCACCATCAAAGAGCTAAATCTGGACGACAAAGCTATAACTAGCACTCTGGGTTTAAGATGGAATCAACAAGAAGACGTTTTTATGTTTTCACTTGTGCCTAAGCAGACATTTAACGTTGTCTCTAAACGTTCAATACTGTCAGTGGCTTCATCTCTATTCGATCCGTTGGGATTAGTGTCACCTGTCATCATAGTAGCAAAAATTATTCTGCAAGAACTGTGGCTACTTAGGCTGCAGTGGGATGAGTCAGTTCCACATAACATCCACACTGCATGGATTTCGTTTCTCTCATCACTTTCGTCGTTGGAGCTGCTTAAGATACCACGATTTTGCCTACAACCAAATGCTGGGAGCCTTCAGTTGCACGGTTTCTGTGATGCATCCATCAGGGCCTATGGATGTTGCATCTACGCACGTACGGTCAGCGCTGATGGTAAGGTTAAGGTGAATCTAGTTACATCGAAATCAAGAGTTGCACCAACTAGAAAACTATCGCTTCCGAAATTGGAATTGTGCGGCGCCCATTTGCTGGCACAACTTTTTGCCAAAATCAAAGTGAACTTTGCTGACCACAAGTATTCGACGTTCTTGTGGAGTGACTCGCAAATCGTGCTATTCTGGATTCAGCAACACTCCGCCACACTGTCCACGTTCGTCGGAAACCGAATATCTGAAATACAGGAGCAAACTTCCAGCTGTCATTGGAAATATGTTCCAACGCGCTGTAACCCCGCCGACTTATTATCAAGGGGATGTTCGGTGGATGAGCTAAATCAGTCTATGTGGTTCGAGGGTCCTGCTTATTTGCTACAACACCAAGACGAGTGGCCAACACAAAGGCCGGGTGATATTGACCAAAATATTGTTGATTCGGAAAAACGCAAATCGGCATTTGCTGTTACTAGCGTTACCAACTATCTACTCGAAGTTATCTACAACATCAGCTCGCATAGCCGTTGTTTGCTAATCGTAGCCTGGATGCTTCGTTTTAGTTACATAAGCAGAAAATTGTGTTCTTTCGATACACCATCTCCCTCGCCACAAGAACTACTACGTGCCATGCATTGTATTATTTGGAATTTGCAGACCAAATACTTCACCGATGACATCCAAGCACTTCGCAAAGGAAGAGAGGTCAGCGGCCACCTTAAATTTTTAAATCCCTTTTTACAGGTGACTGAAGGATTTATGCTGCTTAAGGTTGGAGGTCGCTTGAAGTTGGCAAACGTTCAATACACCCAGAAACATCCGATATTACTCCCAGGTAAAGATGAATTTGTTCGACGATATGTACAATTTGTTCACAGGCAGAACTACCATGCGGGCCCAAAGGCATTAGTTGGCCTTATCCGTCTACGATTCTGGATTGTCAATGCACGAGAAGTAGCACGGCGGGTCGTTCGCTCATGTGTTCACTGTGTTCGCTATCGACCAACCCTGGAGAGACAAATAATGGGTCACCTACCTGTCGAGCGCCTTACGCCATCGAGACCATTCTCAAGATGCGGTGTGGATTTTTGTGGCCCGGTTAACACGTACCTACGTATCCGCGGAAAAGTGCCTTACAAAAGCTATATCGCCATCTTTATATGTTTTGCCACGAAGGCGGTGCATGTTGAAGTGGTGTCCGATTTGTCAACCGAAGCCTTCATTGCGGCCTTGAAGCGCTTGGTAGCCAGACGCGGACTTCTGTCCGACATCTTTTGTGATAATGCTACCAACTTCAAAGGAGCCAACAACAAATTGGAGGCACTCAAGCAATTTTTATTCAATGAAGAAACGATCCACTCCATCAATAAATTTTGTTTAAATGAGTTCATAAAATTTCATTTCATCCCTCCCAGGGCCCCCCATTTTGGCGGCCTGTGGGAGTCAGCAGTCAAGAGTGTCAAGGGGTTGCTCAACCGTACTATAATGAATGCCCGACTCACATTCGAAGAGCTAACCACTGTAACTGCAGAAATAGAGGCGATTTTAAACTCCCGTCCCTTGTCTCCGCTCTCGTCGGACCCGAATGACCTGGCTGCACTCACACCAGGCCATTTCCTAATCGGAGATGCAATGCGTGCAATGCCTGAAACCCCAGTCGTGGAGTTGGATCTTTCAGAACATTGGCGACGAGTAAGCTCGATTAAACAACAGCTTTGGCGTCGCTGGTCACAGGAATACATAAACGAGCTTCAGGTGCGTAACAACTGGACCAAGTCGTCAACTAATGTAACCGTAGGCCAAATGGTTATCGTGCATGATGATAACTTACCACCTCAATGTTGGGTGCTGGGTCGTATCGAATCAGTTATACCTGATAAGGACGACCGTGTACGCGTTGCTGATGTTCGTAGCGCAAGAGGAGTAATTCGCCGACCCATACACAAGTTGGCTTTGTTAC